AAAAAGATTAAAATTATCTGCTAAAATGGGGTTCAGGGATTCAGTTATAATTGTTAAAAGCCTGCATGGAGAAATGGGTCTTTAGCTTTTTTCGAAAGGGAAGGAGCCATCCTGATCTCCTGAGGGAGAGTGCTCCATAGTCTAGGAACTGCCACAGAGAATCTAGGAGTACAGTACACCCAAGCTGCAGACACCCAAGGCCCTCTCCCGTGCCCCCATCAGCTGTGCTTGAGCTGGCAATGGGAGCAAGAGAGTCTCCTCTGCTGATCTTAATTGCCAAGAAAGTGCATGTAGGGAGATACGGTCCTTTAGGCAGCCTGGGCTCAAGCTGTATAGGCTTTATAGGTAGTGACCAGCACTGATCTTAATTGCCAAGAAAGTGCATGTAGGAAGATACAGTCCTTTAGGCAGCCTGGACTCAAGCTGTATAGGGCTTTATAGGTAGTGACCAGCACTTTGAATTGGGCCCGGAAATGGACTGGTAGCCAGTACAGTTCTTGTAACAGGTGCATTATATGCTCCCTGTAGCTGGCCCCAGTCAGTAGTCTGGCTGCAGATTTTTGCACCAGCTGAAGTTTCTTAACTGTCTTCAAAGGCAGCTCCACAGAGTATGTTACAGTAATCCAAACAGAATGTAACTAAGGCATGTGTCACTGTAGCCAGATCCAATATCTCAAGGAGCTGGCGCACCAGCTTTAGCTATGCAAATGCACTCCTGGCCACTGCTGAAACCTGGGCATCCAAGCTTAGGGATGAATACAGGAGTACAGTACACCCAAGCTGCAGACCTGAATTGTCAGGGGGAGTGTAACCCCATCCAGCACAAGTATTATCCCAATTCCCTCACCTGCCTTCTGACTAACCTCTGTCTTGTCTGGATTAAGTTTCAGTTTGTTTGCCCTTATCCAGCCCATTACTGATGCCAAGTGCTGGTTTAGAGTCAAGACAGCTTCCCTGGAATTAGGTGGAAAGGAGAGACAGAGCTGGGTGTCATCTGCATACTGGTGACACCAAAATTTTATACAATTTGTTTTACATTGTTTTATGATGTACACCTTCTGGAGATCCCATGATATAGGGTGGTACAGAAATATTCTAAACAAATAAATAATAAATTATCTTAAGGAGGGTACTAAGAAAGAAAGCAGATATAATAATGACATTTAGCACACATTACCTACCCACTTGGCATAAAAAAAAAATCAAATGAATCCCCATCTAGTATTTTACAGCTTAATTAGACTCCACCTGAATAACTACGAGATTACTAAGATCCAGACTGAAGAGAATAATGCCATTTACAAGCAGGATAACATCTGGCTATGAGCTGCAACCATTTAACCTACCTGGTGTTGATGGCCTTTCCAGCATGTTCAAATGATGGTAGATAAAAGCTTGGCTATCATGAACAGTGTCCATATCAATCTCTTCTTCTTCTTGGGAGTTTGAGAACTGTAGCATGAGAAAATGAAAAGAAATGTAGGGAATGCTGATTAATCTGTCTAAATACATATTTTAACTCACTGGCATATGAAAAGGTTTTACTACAGAAAATTATTCAAAAGAACATGAACATTATGGGGGGAAAACCCAACAATGCATATTAACCACACAGCCCTAATCAGAGATAGGCATCCTGAACCAACTAAAATCCTGAGAATGTTAATTTGTGGCATTTAAGATAAGGATGTTATACAAACAAAAGAAATGAAGCTGACTACGGGATCCTTCATCACAGCTGCACATGATGACCGCTCCCCATTACTGTGGGATAGAGAAAGCCAGAGTAGCATCTGGACACTTCAATATTAATTTTTATTCTTATATTATTTGATACTAAGACCATTTTTCAGAGCATGTTCCAAAAGAGGTAAGGTGATGATGCTTGTCACCACACAAGAATGAGATTTGACCAGATGTATCATTAGATGCTTATGACAGGGCTGTCTGGCATCCTCTGTTAAAACCATCACTTTAGGTAATAACTCCAATGGCTTACTCTTATTTTGAGCTTGACTTTACTGTCTTCGGCCTTCTCAAGGATCTGGCCTGGCTCCAGTGGAGATCCTAGGGGTGTGTCAGCCTTCCGCTTCAAACCTTGCTGATGAGGAAGGGGGATTACTGATGTTTCCTTAACAAGATGATCCTCCTCCTGAAAAACCAATTAAAACTCTGAAATGTAAAAGCATTTTATCTAAAAGAAATACTAGTGGCAGCAAGAATGGAAATGGCAATAATTCATTCAAGACAATTCACACAGTATCCCCTATGCAGCTGCAGAAGTAGTTATAGATAATCCACATATCTTGTTAAATATAATGGAAAAAGATTTTAGTCTCCATAGTTGCCAAATTACTAATACAACACCCTACACAATGAAGGACATTTCTTACAAAAACAGTTTAGGGATGTTCTGAGTGGAGCACTGGGCCTAATGAAGGGATGGTATTAACAAATCATTTGATTGTGACTGTTACAAAAGCAGCTGGGTCTTTATAGTGAGGTACGGTGACCTTTCCACAGAAAACTTTTAATATTGTCCCTTCTGAGGAGCATATTTCTGATAGTAAAAAGTATGTCTGCTTAGGTGTAAAGGCCAAAGGCCCTTGAAGTTCACCAAGAGGCATATACCACTGAAATCCCTACCACTGCCCACAGAGGCTTTTTCTGCTAATAAAGTTTTACATCTCGTATAAGGCACATACCAACTCACATTTCTGGAGGAAAATGAGCGAGGAAAGTATTCATGATGAATCAACTGGCAGAGTGTGGGTGGAGAGAAGCACACAATACAGGCATACCCCCAGGTGGAGACACAGAACAGATTTATGACAAGGCAAAATTAGCAGAATGAGAACAAGAAAATGGAGGATTTTTTTTAAAAAAAGTAGTAAACTGAAGTACTCTGAGTCCCGGGGAGGGCTCTGTAAGAACAAGAACTGCTTACCATACTTTGGAAGCCAACTATTTGACCCATATTGTTGGAATTGTTGGGAGGTTCCGGCCCACTCGCCCCAGCCTCAGGGATGATGGTAGGATTCAGCACGGCTTTCTTCTCTTTCAGGTTGAGGACCAATCCAAGCTCTGGCAGTGGCAAGCAGGAAGGCCTGCTGAGACCAAACAGCGTGAAGTACAGGTCAACAGCACCACAACGCAGCCTCCAGTCATGAGAGGTACCTATAAAGGAAGGGGAGAAAGCAAAACCTTTTCATCACCTTCTCACATTGCCAAGTGGTGTTTATTCTCAAGCTAGTTCTGGGGCAAGCTATCATCAGGGCTTTAAGAAATGAGGCAATTTTTGCCTTTCCGATAGAGATAAATTTGTCACTTTCCGTATGGCACGGTATATCTCTACATTGATAAAAATGAAATCTGTATCCCCTGCCTCTACCAATTACGTCAATACCTAAATAATTGTATCCTTGAGGTTATTCCCTTCGTGATAGGTGCTTGCTGCTAGCATTGGTTAATGTTTTCCATCTGTCTTTGTCCTCTCCTTAGATGCTAAAATTTTGTGTTGTAATAGAAATCAACCTGATCCTAAATGGCTTTTAAAATTTCATTGTACTATATTCTAATGGACTATATTATAGTCTTTATATCATTTTATCCGATGTATGTTGCCATGGCCTGTGTGCCACACAATAAACTTATTTTGCTTGCTTGCTTGCCTATGTGCACATATCACCACAGAAACACAGATGCACCACAGAATAACGGGGGAGGACATGCTAATTAGTAGTAATGATTTGTGTGTTGCTACTGCTTACAATTGTATTGCAACTTAATTTCTGATCACAGCAAATGCAAAGTAATTGGCATAATCATCAACATCTCCCACAGAATCAAGCTGGGATTTTACAACTAGGTCAACTCCCAAAATAAAGGGAATTGTGCAGAACAGGATGACATAAATTTACACATGGGCCTTTAATAAAATACAGTGCTTGTTCCAGCGTAGGGACGTAAAGGCTGCCCTGCTGGAAAAGGATACACTTAGAAATATTATTAGCAACAATCTATGCCTTGCCAAACTTTATCTTGAGCCAACAGTTTATGTTCTGCAGTACAAATAGCCATTTGTAATTCCAAAGTTGCTAAATCAAGCTGGATCAAGCAGCAGTTTCACCACCTGGCCCTTCTATCTAATGCTACAGAAAATTCCACATGTTATATTAATAACATGTTACCTTTCTCACTTCCAACCCAGTAACCTGCACTCCATAAAACAGGGAAGGCCAATATCTGCCAAAAACAGATCTGACATTCATTTTGCGTACCCCTTAGGTTTTTGGTTAAATACTGGGAAGCATGAACAACCAGTGTTTATTTAAAGCAGTGATTCCTAACTTTGGGCCACCAGATGTTCTTGGACTAAAAATCCTAGAAGCCTTCACCATAGCTGTGCTAGCCAGGATTTCTGGTCCAAGAACATCTGGAACCCAATGTGGGGAACCACTGATCTAGAGCCCTTTCAGTGATCTTTCTTGAACTACACCCTCCCTACCCCTAAAGGCTTGTCCCAAATATTTATTGAACACCCTCAAATTTCAAAACACAACTTACAAAGCATGGCTAGGTGAAGATTATGTTTAATGTCAAAAGGGCCATTTAAAAACAAACATCTAGACAGGCACATAATAGAACTTACTGAAGAGAATCCCCCAACTGTTACATATTTTTATCTCCTAAGATTCTGTTTAAGATCTCTAATAGAAAAGCTCACTGCAGTAGCCTTACAGAAGAAGAAGAAATTACAGGACTAGGAACGTTACAAATCGAACTTCTGCTCCTACTGTACTCTGCATTACCACTGCCATGACACTTGCACCATTTCATCATTTTCCATTTCATGTTGGCTGTAACCAAGAGAGCTTCCGCTACCTGCACCGTGCAGAAATCTTTTGTAATTAGCACATTTTAATTTTTTCAGTTTATATTATTTATATGATGTCTTTCTACCCATAGCGGACCCAAGGCTGCTCACGAAAGATAAAACCTCCTAGAGTGGATGAGTAGTCCAGATAGGTGGGGTATAAATCAAATAAATAAATGAATAAATGAATACATGAATGAATGAATGAATGAATGAATGAATGAATAAATAAATAAATAAAATTAAAACAGATTAAAAAACATGATACAAATATAATGTTTAAAAAACAAAATTAAACATATATTAAGATATTTTTTTAAAAAAACTTTTTTTAAAAAATTCAAAAACATGAAAAAAAACCCTCTAATTAAAAAACCAGCATTCCTGCGATAACTTGCAGCTTAAAAACCTGCTTGAAGGGGAAGGTCTTTGCCTGGCAATCTGGCTTCTCAGAGTACTGTATTGCAAAGCCTGGGAGCAGCCACTGAGAAGGCCTTCTCTCATGCCCTCACCAAACCAACTTGGGAAGGTGGTGGAACTCTGAGAAGGGCCTCCCCAGAAGATCTTAAAATCTGAGAAGACTTATGTGGGGTGATGTGATCCTTCAAATATCCAAGCTGCTGACTTTCTCTTCAGGCAAGCTTTCCCTCAGTGACTGAGGCTACCTAAACGTGATCTTTTTAGATGGATCGTTATACATCACTGCTTTGACTGTGTTTTTTATATCGCCTGCCTCTCTCATTTCTAAGAGGGTTATTTTGTTTGTTCTTTTTTAATATTTCTATTCTTAGTGTTTTTTTGCTTTAAAATATTGCCTTCTAATGATGAATGCCACCTTTGTAGACTCATGGTTTTTTTCCCTTAAATATTGTAAGCCACTTTGGGTCCTTTTCTAAGGAGAAAAGTGGGGTAAAACTATTTTAAATCAGTCAATCAAACAAACTATGCAGATAGTTCAAACGGCCAGTATTTTGATGTATCTGAAAGTATGCTGCATTACTGAGTTTACTGAGTAGACAGTTTCCAGAGGAAAACAAATAAAAGGAGTATGTCTTAAACAAAACTTAGCATACAGGAAAATTACGACACAGATGGAAGAATCACGAGTCTGCATCTATGGATATACAGACCCCTTCACCATGATAAGACTTTTCAGAATATCTGGGAAAACACAATGAAATTAAGCTCAACTGTTCTTGTCATCCAAACCTGAAAACGCACCAGAAGATAAGAAACCAGAGATTAGTCAAATAAAAGGAGTATGTCTTAAACAAAACTTAGCATACAGGAAAATTATGACACAGACTCTGGTGGATGGAAGAATCACGAGTCTGCATCTATGGATATACAGACCCCTTCACCATGATAAGACTTTTCAGAATATCTGGGAAAACACAATGAAATTAAGCTCAACTGTTCTTGTCATCCAAACCTGAAAACGCACCAGAAGATAAGAAACCAGAGATTAGTCCCCCCCCAATTCTTTAGCAAATCACTCAATCCTTATTAAGTATGCAGCACCTTCTACAGTATCTAAAGAAAACAGGCTGCTGAAATATTAATTTGTTCATGTGTAGAATTAGTGTAATAACAAAAACATGGTAATTTTATCTTAACTGATCAGCAAACAACTTCATTGCTATTAAAGCAGATAGTGCTTTTTCAAAGAAGTTAACATGTAAACACCATTAGGCATTTGTAAAACATTTTTGAATGTTATGGAATCCACCAGTTTTCGTCTCCTAGATTCCAGCCCTTCACAAGATGAGCAATAAGAAAACCAAGATCTGTTATCCTTTATGGTCTCTTAGGCATTAAGAAGTTCTAAATAAGGAAACCTAGCAGGACCTGGGGAGGGGGAAGAGGTCCTTATAAATATTCTTACTGGCACAGATTTTGAAATTGTTCTTTATGGAAAGCATGATTTGGGCAAAAGATTCCATGAGATGCATACTCTTAATATATCAAAAATCAAGAGTATCCTTTACTATCACTCCTTTTGTAACAACAAGGTCAACGAGTTAAAGACTAACTTTGTATAATGAATTCTCTTGACAGGGGGAAAAAAAGGAACAAGAACTCTCTAGTGGAAAGATCCAAACTGTTTACTTCCTGAGTTTCACATCTGGTAAATCTTTCCAAAAAATTAACTGAGGCAGGTCTCATCATCTAGCCCCACATGGTTTCAGCTGCCTGCTGGTGCAGCTGTAAGCTTCGAGGCACTAAAAATAATGATGCACAGAGAGCACACAGCCATTAATGTCCCCTGGAAGAATACATATAAAACTTTCAAAGTAAGCAGTATAAAACAACATGCCAAATTTTGGAGACCAATTTGTACTATAAGAGGGATCTGGTACAAAAAACAAAAAACAAATTGAACTTAATGGAAGGGTGATTCTTCTGCAACTTTTTTTTGCTTCCTGAAGGAATATGCAGTGGGGCAGAGGGAGGGTGCAAGTTCACACGAATCTTCCAGGAAAAGAACCACAAGTATCTTATTCAAGGCCCTTTCCAGAAAAAGGTATAAAGAGTTTCCCCAGAACAACATTTTCTGTATCATGCAAGTCAGATATAACCAGTGTTTGTTACAAGCATGAGTATCGCCTTTGAATAATAGTTGTTGGAGAACACAAGTAGGACAGAGTTAAAGCCTTCGGGATTTGCTGGTGGGCTTCCAAGAAGCCGATGGTTGGCCACTGTGGGAAGCAGGATGCCGGAACTCCTATAAAACTGGAAGCTCCTTAAAGACACCATGACTAACACCATTGACAGACTTATCCTCCATGGATTTGCTAATCCTCTTTTAAATCCATCTAGGCTAGCAGCCATTGCCACATCTTGTAGCAGCAAATGCCATAATTAATTAAATGGTGTTTGAAGAAGCATTCTCTTGTCTTCTCACACGGATCAATCTTACTGGAACACAAACTCCAATAGCAGGGTATGAAATGCAACTGTAGTATAAAATCGGAAACCCTCATTCTCCAAGATCATTACAAACGAACTGAATTAAATTTCCAAACTAATTCTGAATTCATATATGACTTAGAGCACTCGAGCAGCTGCTGCCTGCAATGGTCCCCACTCCCCCTGCAACTTGTCCTATCCACGCTATATCAATCATTGCACAGGAGGACTTCTAATTCTGTGACTGAACAAAACCCCGAAGGGTCTTATGGCACCTTAAATGTTAGCAAATTTTGTTTGGCACACATTTTTGTGAATGTCTTAACATATTCAGATGAATAGACTCCAGAAGACTTTCCTGTTTCTGATCCAACAGACTAACACTCTTACCCTGTCCTCCTCCTCGACCTTGCAATCTGACCATACCATGACTCTGCTCCTGTGACGGCTACTGGAATATGAAGTTCCTTGTCCTGTAGAAAAATACCCCCTCCCCCTCCCTGTTATCACATGACAACCTACTTCTAAGTCTGAACAGAACAGTGAAGGAACATGCCATAGGAACATGTAGGAGTGTTCGCAAGGTTCCAGGGCTGGTATCTGCATGCTTGCTATGCTACCCAAAGCCAGTCAGAAAACAAAAAATACTGAGAGTTCCTATTACTAACATACTTAGCAGTATGATGAACTGAGTACTGACCAAAAGGCAACCCTGTACGCAACAACAGGTTTTACTAGAATGGAAGGCAGAATCCAAAGAACAGGAGTTTGCATCTGATACAGCAACCTCAAGAGACTGTACTTGTCAGTGTACTAGAAGGAAGACTGTGTAGGAACGTCATGTATTGCTCTGAGTTCTACTAAGAAGTGCAGGACATAGACTAAAATAAAGTAAAATGTCCTACCGTATGCAGTGAGAATTACTTCTGTGTAAAAATGTTGGAGATTGTGTTTTCAGCAATTTCTAATTGCTTGTAATGTCTTGGCAGCCAAACATTCGCTTTGGCATTTACACATCCAATTATCTTTTTGAAGGATTGCCCTCTAATTTGTATGGGTGTTCCTCTGTCTAGTAAAACCAAGGTGCCAAGAAGTGTGCATGTTTGCAGAAGCACCATTCCTACAGTCACCTCGTGTTTTGATTCAGGTAGGGTTAAAACTGGGCAATGTCAAAAGTGGGCACATGTTTTTGACTGGCAGTGTGAACAAACGATCACAAAAAAAGTAGGCCATTTGGTGACTGAGTAAATAAATAAATAAACAAACAAACAAACAAACAAACGAATGAATAATGCTGGGGAGTCAAACAAACAAGCAAACAAACAAACAAACTAATGAATGAATAATGCTGGGGAGATCCTTGCATTGCTATGTAGGGACAATGGTTTAACAAGGTAAACCATTTTTTAACAACTAACCTGAATTCATAAGCTTCCACAGCTGATCCACTAGTGCCTCATTGCACAACGGAGATTCCATGTTCTTGGTAAATGGTGGGTTCTTCGTCAACATGCTCAATATTTTATGCCTGAAAGAAAATAACGATCAACTTTCAACCCACATTAAATCTGACGTTTTCATTTCCATGCTTTTCATTTTCTTTGGTTTCTTTTGAGCCTCCATAGTTTCATATCGGGATTACAAGATCCTTGATGCAAACATTTCAAGAAATCAAGTTCAATGCACTTACACAAGAATCTAAATATGTATCAAATAGTCATTTTAAAGAAAAAGTTTGGGGGCAGTAATGGTCAGTGGAAAAAACGAGGAAAGAGCCCAAGACGGAAAAACCTGAAAAGAGCCTGCAGTGTTCAAAGGCTGTCATTATCCAGGTCACCAGGGGTACAGTCTCGTACTGGCAAACTCTCTAAACTTAAAACCGGCAGGCAAAATGTTCGCTACAAACCTATCATTTATAATCTTTGTCCCCCAACTGCGGACTTGAAACCAATTTATATTTTCCTAGGTATCCAAATATAACAGTGGCCAACTTTGCCTCATTACACTGAACTAGTGTGGATTTTTTCCCCCTCTATCTGAAAAGAGAAATGTTGTTGGAAGGTCCTCCAGCTATGGCCATGGTTTTAAATGCTCCCTTGAAGAGATGTGGGTAGTTGCTAGGACAGGCACAAGAAACTTCCTATATTCTTAACAGTCTTAGGGTTTTGCTGAGGGGACAACACTCATACTAATTTCTCAGGAAAATGGAGAAGTGCTGCCCTCTTGCTCAATAGCTATAAATTATCCTCATCTCCACACTAAGACTGGTAGTCTGTTGACTTAGGCAGTAACAAAATATTACTAATGTTTTGGTGGGAAGTGAAAGATTTTTCTGTTCTTTTCTGAAAGGACTGCCATGCCCTATGAGAACAAGACAGCTCAGTATATTTCTGGCCAAAATCCTGTTAATATAGCCTGTGCAGTGGGAATGACATCACTGTTAGCAGCAGACTGATGCTGATTAAAGACTTCCTTTTTTGATTTTGGGGTGCCTACGGCTTTCATGAACTGATACAAACTTGGTGCAGCCCAAAATGGAACAAGGAAGTCTTTAACTAGTGGCATTCTGCTGCCGCTGATGGCATAATTCCTATTTTACAGGTGGAAGCCTCTGTCTCGGAAGCTAAGGAATAATGGATGTGATTATTGCCTGGCTACCCCTTTCCTGTTTCTTAGATGAAAACAAAGACAGAATATGATTTTTTTTTTTAAAAATGAACACAGACCTATAACCTGAATTAATATTTTTACATGAATTACTGGAGAAATTCTTGACAGAGAAACATAGAATCACAGAATAATGGAATATGAAGCAGCCTATAAAGCTACTGAGTTCAATTTCCTGCTCAGTGTTAAAGCTCCCCACCTCTTAAGGTAACTGGTTTCATTTTCATACTGTTCTAACAATTAGGAAGCTTTTTCTGATATTCAGCCAAAATCTGGGGGAGTGCAACTGACAAAATCACTCCTTAAATATCTGACTTACATTGAAAGCCCTAACAGGGTCACTGTAAGTCAATTCTGACTTGATGGCAAACAACTGATATGTACTTCAAGAAACACAGTAAATGGAAATTATATAGATTTGACTGCCATTGTGGTGACAAACCTGACATATGGTACAGGGTCACTCTGTACCATATTAAGCAGCCACTGGAGTTCCTCGTAGCTTCTGTCAACTATAAAAGAAAAATACAGGACGCATTAAACAAGATAATGGAACTTTTAAAAAAAGATGTGGTCAGAAAAGCTAATCAGAATTTATTGATTGAAGTCCTCTTTTTTTAACATAATACGTCATGCTGGAGTAGGCCCACTGAATCCGTGGGAATTTGGTGAGGCAGCTCCTACGTAAGTGACACCAGGGATAGAGACCTGAGCTGCAGGACTGGGTGTCAATTTGGATTTAAATTGCATTGGTGACTTGACTCGGATATTTTTTTCTTTTGTTTTTCGCCCAATAACTGACATGACTCGTGACTTGGAACCCATCCGCTCCTCCATTTTATCTGAGGAAAAGAGCTTGTTTTTAATAGGTACTTGGACTTGGGACTCAGGACATGGTATCAAGGACTCAGACTTGGTACCAAAGACTGACTCAGACCTGGGACTCAGACCCAAAGACTTTCCAACCTCCAAATGCCACTGATGCAAATGGGTTTACTAAAGTTGCACACTTCTAAAGCAAGTCACAATTAGGGTAAGCCTATTTGAATTTAAAAAAATTGATGCATTCAGAAATACCTGCAGTGTGGTGGCTAAGAATGTTCCCTGTGATCCCAGCTTTTAAAAACCAAAATCTGTTCCTATCTGTACTTTACCAATCTGGGCAGCATTTCTTGGTTATTTTCGTGTATAACATCATGCTGGAAAAGTGGGGGGAAAACTAGGAACTGACTTGCATATGAAGCCTGTAAGTGTCTTTGGGGCGGGGCTTTGTTGCGGTGCTCCCAGCAACTCCAGAGAGGAGCTTTCTCTGGAAAAAGCTGGAACCCTCCGGTCCGGGATCCCCCTTTTGAAATGGGGATCAAAGGAGAGTCTAGAAGAAGTCTCTCTGAAGCAGATGGTGAGCAGCAGAAGGAGAAGAAAGGGAGGCAGACCCGGACTTTTTTCTTCTGAAGAAATCACCGTGCACGGACTGGAGCGGGCGCCATTTTTTTGGCACTGAGCCGCGAGGAACCCTTTACCGGGGGTGAGGAGAGCAATCAATATAAACTAAAAATATATAACAAGTAAGTAAGCCGAAGCCTCTGATTTATGAAACAGCCTCATTAAGCTGAAATAAGAATGAAAATATTTGGCGGAAAGAATAAATGCAGCGGCGGGTTTATCTTATCAGTCTGACTCAAAAGCGAAACTAAGCTTCTCCAAGTGAACTATTAAAACACCAGGCTGATTCTAAAGCCGAGAGTCTGAGATGGAAAAATAAATCTTATGTTTCTGGAGAAGAATCCCAGACAGCAACACCGTCTGACTGGATTTAAGAGACTTCGGTGGATGCAGTGTGGCTGGGATACGTTACTCTTTGCCTTCTCTGGACTTTGGGAACTATAAATAATAGAATCTGGTGGTTTTCGGGAGAAGGAGCTGACGTGGCCAACTGGACTAAGGAGCATTAAGGGGTTAATGAAGATCACAAGA